TCAAGTTGAAAACAATTTGATAAAATATATAATTGTTAATAAAACATAATAATCTTTCCATAAATTTAGAGAAGAAATAAGTGATCTCGTTTAAAGAAAAATTCTACAGAAAGTGAATCTGATTTTACAAGATTTAATTTGTAGAAAAGAATTCATCTTCTCTAACATATATTTTCCACTGTATTAAGTTAAAGAGAATATTTTATATGTCTGTAAACTTGTACAGATCGTAAATCAAACTATTTACATTTAGTAACTATTTTGATTACGCTTGAAAACTTAACTTACAGTAATACTGTATTATTTTTTATAATTGGCAAAATAAGAATGAAATAAATATTACTGTTAGACGTTAAGTTTTATACATTTCATGCTGAAGGTGTGTATATTGATACAAAACTTTGTATCGATACATGTATATAGTGAATGAACTCCATTTGCAAATCATCAAAATACTTTGAAAATATAATAAAATATTCCTATATAACCTTAGTATATTATTATTTTTAATATCCAATAATGTGCAACGTGGAACACTTGAATTCTATATCATTTACATTATTATTTTATACTAGCGCAGTTATTTCAGACATGTATATATTTTATTGTAGCAAATGTTAAATTATATATGTCTGAATGCTGTGAAATTTTACATATATTTGAAATAAAGTATATATATATATATATATGTATGTACCTATATAGTATCTATGTTTTAATCTATCCAATTTAAAAAAATATACTAAAAACGTAAAAAAAATAGCAAAGCCTTTATATATTCCATCCATCATTTTTGGGTACAGATTATGAACACGTACAGTTTAAAAAGATGTATATATTTTCAATAATATATTGCAAATGGTGTTTTAAGAAATAGTTATTTGAATACAACGGTATCGAGCATAGCTCCCAAACACTGAACAATGTTTGTAGCCATAAGTGTGTCCACTTTTTCTTCTAAATGTCGTTTTGGATCTTGTTTACCCACATTCTTTATAGCTAACTGTTCAGGTGTCATTTTTTCTTCGTCTTCTAATGCCTACAAATAGAAATTTTCAAATTATTAAATATATTCAAGAACTTTAATTCTCAATATATATATTAATACACTTTACCTTGTTATAATTCTTGGCAAGTTCAAGCATTTCAGAGACAATATTTTCATTGAGTCTACTATGTTCAGAATATTCAGCAAGTGTCAAACCATCCATCCATGTTTTCTTGTGTAGATTTAATAACATTTTCTGTTCTAATTCATTTTTGCGATAATTGATGCTAATGCTATAATAATGACGGTTTAAGCCATGAATTAAAGCTTGAACAGAAGGTTTCTGTAGGTGACCTAAATTGGAAGTAGTTTGACGTGGTTCTTGTCCCAAAACCTGTAATTTTGTGTCATATTCATACATATTCTTAAATTAAAATGAAATATTAATTTTTTTATATTTTAGATATAAGTACTTACCATCATATTTGGATTAATTAATCTAAATGCATCGATAACAACTTTTCCTTTCACAGACTGTATAGGATCAATAACAACAGCCACAGCTCTTTCACTGAGAGCTTCAAAAGACTGTTGGGTATTAATATCTACACCAGAAAGCCAGCAACCAAAACCTGGATGAGAATGGTACCATCCTACAACCATTTCTGGTCTACCAGTTTGTTTAAGCATGTCTAACATTTTTGCTTGAAATACTGGATCAACTGCTTCTACGCTAACTCCCTAAAGGCATATAAAAAATATATGCAATGATAAACATATATTATTAACTACTTTCATACAGAAGAATTCTCATTCTTACAGTTCCTGTCTGAGGCATAGCAAATACATCAATGACACGAACAGTATAGTCATCAACAAATTCTCCAAGCATCAAACCCATCACCTCCATAGGTACACCAGCACGTCCATGTTTAAGCATTTTTAAAAGTGCTAACGATGATATGTATACCTGACAATATTAAGATAAAAGTACATTAACAATTCCTTAATTAATTACTACATGATCTGTTATGTTGTTTCATTGTGCAGAATTTTCACTTTATGTTCCAATGCCATTATCTAATAGACAAATAGTCGGTTTTAATTCATTTCTTTTATGGATATTTTTGAAAATAAGGAAATAAATACCAATATGGTTTAATACATAGAAATAATTAATTATTTTTACCTGCTCAGCGGTGTCAACAACCGGAGCATCTGAAGGTGGAGGTCCTTGATTTACACCTGGCATACATCCGCCTAATCTTAGAAGTCGATCCATATTTAAATGGTTTTTGTTCTTCAAACGTTTCTGAAAATATTACAAATATATATAATCGTAGATCAAGAACAAAAATTACATTAGTTACTGAATTAAACGTTTACATTTAGGATACATAAGCCTTCGCTAAGGTTAAGTTTACTTCTTGCACGTCAGAAAAGGATTATATCATTTTATAAATATAAATTATATTGTTTCTTTCGCTTACCTATTATATTGTATCACTCGAAGTAAATAATACAATTTATTATAATTGTACAGTGTCAAACAAGTTTTGTCTACGCTTTCCCATGCAGCGTATTGACAACTCTCAAATGTGCACACTCATGAGCGCGGCCTCTGAAAACTGACTACCATTATATACGTATAGACTTTTCCAATCAAGGCAGTGAGTACGTGAAGTTATGAAAGATAATGTACAGCGTACAGTAATTTCTCCGAAATTAGCCGGAGGTCCACACGGTTTAGGTAAATTTAAGAAATTAGTATTTAAGATACGTTAGCGATAAGTATTAATGTGTAAAACAAAAATAATATAAAATTTACTTTACAATAGAATGAGGTTATGAAGCTAGAATGCGAGTACTGGTGAATGTCTTTATCAAAACAGAAGTTTATTAAAGTTGAAATATTTCAAAATTGTATTATTTTATTTTTTAACAATGCAATAAAATGTGTTTTCATGTGAAGAATTATTGATATGTTCTTGCCTTCTTTTATGTCTTATAGGTGATCCAGATGATACTTCATTGAGAAAAGTAGAAAAAGATGTTCTTATAACACAATTAATGCGGGATAAGGCAAAGGAAAACTGTCATGAAGTGGTTGAAGGTAATATTGTACTTCAAAATTGTTATTATTATATATATATATCTATTAAACATGTTATGTAATAACATTTTCTATGTACTTGATTTATAGAATTCTCAAAGTGTTGTGTGGATAATAGCTTTTTAATGGTCGTTAGATGTAGAAAGCAAAATTCTGCTTTAAAATCATGCTTGGTAAAATGGTTCAATGATGAAAAGTTTAAAGAAGAATGTACACAAGAATATTTAAATGATAGAAGAGAGTATCGATTAACTGGTATCCCCAAGAAATCAAGACAGAAAAAATTACCATCCTCATAAATTTTACTCTGTTTTAATGAATGTTAATTTAGAAATGTATTGCAATTGTAAAAAAATGAATAATTAATGATTTTTTTGTAAAGTACTGTATCTTATTTAATGAAATAACCAGGATTTTTATATTAAAAATATATTTCACAGTTACAATGTATTTGTAATTATCTTTTAATTTAATGAATATGTTACATATACTGTTACCAAGAATCATAATCCACATCATCTTCATCTTTATTATTTTTTGGATTCCATCTCCTCCATAATAGTTCTCTTACAGAAAATTCTGATAAAGTATCTACACTGAGTAAGTTAGAAGTTTGCAAAACCGAAGATGGCCATAATACTTGAGCAAATAATATTTCCTAGATTGAGAATATAAAATATAATTCACGACATTTTTTTATATAACAAAGAAATAAACAAAGTAAATAGTGTAAATTAATTACCTTTGCAGCAGTCTCTGACAATCGTTCGAGTCCTAATAAATTATTCCATGTTGGTTTATGCATAGACTTACTCTCATCTCTTACTAATGTATCTCCATCTAAAACATCCACTATTACAATGTATGATGCATGATAAAATGGTGGTCCTTGTTTATACAACACTGAAATATTTTAAAACTTATGGTTTATAAATATGTTTATCATTTAATTTTTGATTTAATTAAATAAATAATAGAATATACTGTGTTGATACTAACAAAAGTCTCCACCATATTTTATTCCTGGCTTCACAACCCATCCTTTGCTTCGAAAATAGTGGTATACAACATATTTTTGTACAAAATTTTTATCAGCTTTGCAAAACAAATGCCAAGAACTATCAATGTCTAACAAATTACCATCAAAGTCTATTAGATTTAAACATCCTAAACCATACAAAAGGAAAAACGTTTCTTCGTATGTAAGGTGAAGAGTTTCTTGTACAGGAAAACTTTCGTTTTCAACTTTAGGTTTTATTTCCTTTAAATAAGTTTCAACTTCTGAGTCACTGTCTGGCAAGACAAGTAATTTACCTTGAACATCTGTATTATTATCAGTAGCACACAGATTGTCCTCTTTAAAATTGAAGGCTTTTAAATAATAAGAATCATCTTTCTCCTCAGTTTCAGTACAATCTTTACTATTGCTTTCGTTAATACTTTTGTTTGCAATGATACATATGTCATCTTCTTTTGTTGAATCATGACTTATTTGATTCATTTCTATTTCTTTATCATGTGATTTATCTTCTTTTTGATTTTTGTTAGAAGAACTAAAATTAGTATCTATTTCAATTATGTCAGGTGTACTTTCTATTTCTAAACTTTCTAAAGAATTTTCTTCGTCTTCAAGATCTACAATATTAGTGCATTCACTTTTGTTTTCATCTGAATTTATATATTTACTATTATTAAGTCCCACACTGAGTTCATTGAATTGTTGTAACCATTCTTGTCTACGCGTCCACTGCCTATTCTTTATTACAGGAGGTGCTCCATATCGTGCTTTTCCAAATGAAGGGAAACCACGAGATAATGAACCTTTGCCAAAATATCCCTGAACAAAAAAATTAATAATTTCAATGAAATGTATACTTATATATAAAACATGTAATGATAATTTGTGATTACCATAGAATGTACTGCAGTGATCTCATTTGGATCAATTATACATGATCCTACTTCTGTAAGGTGAGCAGTGTATGTTACCCATTCATTTTTATCACCCAACACAATTGGAAACAGTGGTTGTTCTTTTATTTTAACTCTTCGTTTCTTTTTCGGTTCTCGTAAATTCATGTTGTTTTTAATAAAATGTGATTCTAAACAATTTTTAATTCTTTTGCATTTAATGTAATACTTTCATGGAACCTTAATTAAGGTTTTATTTTATATTTACACATTATTAGCTCTTAAAATAATATGAAACATTACTAACTGATAGAATCTAATTATAATTGTTCTTTATTTCAAAATAAAAGTTTCATATGAAATCTGGCATACATTTCACGGTATGATCTTGACGTTTTTGACTATAAACTCAGCCGAGCGCGTCAAGCAGACGTTTCCCCTTGCCCCTATGCACTATTAAACCAACGACTGACGGCACTAAGCGGTGACAATCTGGTACTATTTGACTAGAAGTTTAAGCAGTCTAGCACTATGTGGCGCCACCAATCTGGAATAAGGAAGTGGGATTTTTAAAAATTATTGTTGTTTTTTATCTTTCTCACTAAGCAGGAGCAGCAGGAATATTGTCTCTAGGATTTTATTTTTCCTTTTCAGAATTCGGAGCAGAGTTAAATATTTTCTTTATATAATAAATCTAAGCGTTATAATTATAATTTTGTTTATTAATGTGCTATAGTATAAACAATAAAAATTGGTACACAGAATTAATTTGTTTTATTCGTTTAATATACATTGTTATGTATTCATTATTTTGAAGCTATTTCTAACATTTCATTAATATCAACTATCTTTTCTCTTGGTTTCCCTAATTTTTTCCCTCTTTCACACTCTACTCTATCAATTTTTTTCCAGTCGTCGTATGACACTGAATATATACCTCTTTGTTCAAGAATTTTGCGTAGTCCTACTGATCCAGGTTTATTTTCTACCCCTGATAGTTCTTTGCTTATCAATGCACCAACATTAAAGGCATTTGTCATTGTTGATAAGATGACACCCACTGGACCTGTTGCAACCCAACCTGCAGCATAAATATTATCCACAACTTTGCCTTCTGCATTTTTAACACAGCCAATTTTGGTATCAAATGGCACTGATTCATCTATTTGTACAGATTTATATCCAATGCTACGAAATGCTAAACCACATGGAATCTTTTCAAATGAACTAGTAGATACTGCAATTTGTTTGTGTAGATTATCTCCTTCAAGCTTGTTTATTGATAGTTTAATGCTATCAACACTATCAGAACCTAAAAATTCTAAAGGACTTCTCAAAAATATTGGATGTAACTCTTTTATGTCGGGCGTTGTATTTGTAGGTGTTTCTTCTACAGACTTTAACATAAGTTCAGTCAGTCTTTTTCGTGGTCTCGCTAAAGTACCAACAACGTCTTTTACACCTTCAAAATCAGCTGCGCGCCAATAAGTTTTACAACCATCTAACTTTATTATTTCGCGTAGTTCAGCGATTGTAAATGCAACTTGTAATGGTCCTCTTCTGCCTACCAATGAAACTTTACGCACTTTACTTTGCGATAACTGTTCCAAGGCAAACGATGTTATATCAGTATTCTGAAACAGTGATTAATCGCATGTAAATTATTAAAGTATATTTTTATGAAAATGTTGATCGAAGATTTAAAATGTACCTTTAATTTGTCTATTGGTGTTAATAGAATTCTTGCAATGTCTATAGCGACATTACCTTGTCCTAGCACAACTGCTTCTTCTACATCTAAATTAAGTTTTAAATTGCTGTCTGCTGGTACTCCATTATACCAACCAACGAATCGTCGACCCGATATCACATTGTTCAAATTTTCTCCAGGTATATTGAGTTCCTTATCCTTTTCTGCGCCATATGTCTAAAATAACGAATTATTAAATATTTGATTTTAAAAATAAATAGAAATATATACATTTTCATTGTTCATACCAACAAAATTGCATGATAAATTTCCTGCAATTGTTTTATAGTAACATCTTTCCCTACATTAACGTTTCCTATAAATTGAAAACGCGGATTAGATGCTGTTTTCTCAAAAGTGTTAATAACATTTTTAACTTCTGGATGATCTGGAGCAACACCAAAACGTACCAAACCAAATGGTACTGGTAATTTTTCCACTATATCCACATGTACATTGCTGGAAGTCTGTACGAAATAATCATTATACTATGAAAATACTGTATTTATACTAAATTTTTTACACACCTTTAATAATTGTTGCGCAGCATAAAATCCTGCAGGACCCGCACCAACAATACATACTTTTGGTACATGTTCAGTTGAAAATAGACGAATATAGCTACTAATTATACCAACTTTCATGACAGTAATTTACATCGACCTAAAAAAATATATTGCAAATTGTTTTGATTTTCTAATTGCTGCTTGTGTATAAACAAAATGAAATTTGTAAAAAGGAGGCAACCAAGAATTGTTACTTTTTAATATAAATAGAACAGTGTTGTTACAATAACAAATATGCAAGAAAAGATACACCATTTAGAAATGTAAAATTATAGTTTATTATACCAAAAATATTGGTACAACAATAGTTGTTTACATGTTATAGAAATATCATGTATTACTTTTCCTCTTTAATTCCACTATTTTCTTGTACCATAGTGGAAACATAATGAATGTATGATTTTATAACCCAATGATTAATATTCGATATTGGATAGAACAGATCACAGTCTACAAAAAGAGAAAGTATAATAGAAACATAGTACAAATATAAACATTTAACTAGAATGTACCAATTATTCTTACCATATAAAAATATTGCAGGAAAAATATGTAAAATAGCATTTTCTGTTCCTTGAATATTAGAAGAAGCAGCTTTAACATCAATTAAGCACTTTAGTATCTTCATATTATAATTGTAGTGTTCCAATGTAATTTTTGAACCAATGTTATTACAAAATTTTAGAGTGATTGAATTAAAAGCACAACTTATTAGATAAAGAAGTCCAACATTAAGATGGGTAAGCAATGAATAACCAATTAATATTAAAGTGTCTCCAGTATTAAGGTTTTGCATTGTATCATAAATTTTGTCAATTATTTTATGACAATCATGAACATCTGTGTATTGAAATGCTAAAACTTTATATCCCGGTTTATTAAGAATTTGTTCTTTTAATTGGCTTACAGTTTTTGCAGAAGGATACTGTGTTTTGTATCCCATATTAATAAGAATATCGTCAACATGGTTTTTCATTTTTAAGATACCATGACGACAGAATCCTGACGAATATACTCTATGGAATATTTTCCCCGAAGAAATTTGTAAATCTTTTGGCAATTCAATGAATTTGAACTATAAACAAAACATTATTTTATTTTGTACTGTAAACAAACTTCAAGTTCGATTAAAAGAGAATATCTTACTTGTAGAATTCTATTAGAAGGGATATCAATTTTTATTTTATTGGAATCACTAAACAAAATTTTTAATTGATCCAATGGTGATAAATGTTGTTGTTTGCAACGTTCATTATAAGATCCAAGTGTTAGCCTTTTACATACGTTAACAGTATTGTATGCTTCCAATTTTGTATTTCCCACAATTTCTCCCGATGTCAATTTTCTTATGTTATAATCCGTGATATATTTGTTGGCAACTATATGTTGAATTCGCTTTATATTATTGAACATCTGATCATTATCTGATTTGAATGTAACAATATTATTCATTATGACCAGACGTTGATGATAATTGAAAAACTTATTACACTCTATAATTGTTTCTATAAATGCAGATGGAATATCACTGTAATTGAACATTGCTTTTTTAGGACGACATTCATAGTATTTTGTAAGCTCTTCCAAATATGGTATCACAACTGGTTGCCCCTTAAAATCTGTGCATACTATGTAAGTCTCTGAATTTCCTTCTTTACTTGTTACCGGTTTTACTATGCTGACTTTATTAAAACAGCAACAAATTAAGTAAATTAAACATACTGAATGACATTCAAAAATAGTGAACATTTTTAATACAAAACTACCCCCAGTACATAAAAGATGCAGGGCAGCTACAGTTTCGCAGAAATGTAAATGTGCTACTATATTCTCCTGTTCTCCAGGGTCATCTACACAGCTTGTACTGCCATCAGCAGTAATCAAGTATATATTGTCATGCGGTTCTGTTGTTTTTAAGAGCTTATTCAAATTTTTTAAATTCATAAGGTTCCCAGTATTGTCTTCTCCAAAGCACCAATGATTTAATGTATGCCTTATGAATCTATCATCGGTAATCATTTCAGACGATGAATAACCTTCGTACCATGGGTTTAATGTTGTAGCAATCCAATCCCATTGAATGTCAGATACATTTGTTTTCAACCAATGATTTAAGGATGCTACAAATGCTCCAGGTGCTTCACACAAATGAACAGACTTAAAGTGTCCATTATTATTATTAATATGAGTTACTGGTACTAGAGGATAAGATGATACTAATTCATAGAACTTACACCATGCCTGAGTTAGAAGTTCTGCTTGAATTTTTTTTCTTAAGTATAGCATAACATTTTTTGCACTGTTTCTATATTGCGTATGCGAATGCCATTCATTAAGGTTAAAATTATTTAACGAATTCTTTACATTATTCAACTCTCTCTTTAGTTTTTGTAGTTGTTCAACTTCCCATATAGGACACGTGAACAATGTTTCTGGTTTAGGTAATGAGTAAGACTCAGTATCTATGAGTGGGAAGCGCTTGTTAAATAAATTATATATATGCTCATCTGTAGTTAAATTGTTGACATGTGAGAAGTTCATAGGTATAATCACAGTTTCTTTTTTATCTAAGACTTGTTTATTAGCTTCCATTGTAGTCATTGAATTGTTTATTTACTAATTACTTTAACCACTAGTTGAAGGAAATGTTGTAAATCACATTTAAGTTTTACATGATATAACAATGTTTTTTCACATAGTATTTAGAACAGGGACTATAAAAGAAACAAAATTAAAATAACGAATATTGTGTTCACTTCTTTCAGAGTTATTCGTTAAGTACTTTTCACAAGGTTAACTTTTCTTATTTAACTATCTTGGCTGTCCCCTCATTTTCTTTTACATTTTTACACATTTATATCTCACCTTTTTGTAACACAGAAATAAAAAGAATGTTCCGATTATACTTTATAAAAGTATTCCTTATTTCAATGGGCAATATAAATTACATTTATAATGTATCATAAACTCAATTCAATTGTCGTAGTACAAAACACAGTATGTACAATGAAAATCTATGTACAATTATATTCTGAGAGAAATAAATAAATTTATTTAAAGTAAATATTACGCTTTGCTCGTGAGATGAGCCCCCGGTCGGCGCAGAGGTAAGAAAGTCTCTCGCTAGGGATTTTGTTTATGGTTTTAATTGGTCATACGTAACCGTATTGACGAATAGCAAATTGGTATTGAAACTGAAATGAAAAAAGATGAAAGCTGACCAATGCGATCGGCATTACTTTCAAAGGTCTTCTCGTGAGCAACGAGGAGTATTAGAGTTTAAATTTATTAAATATTACGAAAGTGATGAAATACTTGCACAAAATATTTCATTATATATCAATGAATTTGCTAATGACAGTTACTTTAAAGGTTATTTTGTAATTTGGAAGAAACTGTTTATTTGTTTAAAAATGAAATTTCATTCGAGCATTCGCTTGAGCAATATCTCTAACACAAGAATCTCTTCTCAAACTTTCATGTTCGATGAAATATTTACCTCATTCAAATATTTCGTTCATTCGCGCTCATTTTTAATCCGTGAAGTAAGAAATCTAAGAAAGAAAATTTCTATATTTTTGATTATCATTTCTATGATTTATAGCGCTGCCATGCAAAACCAGCCTTAGTTGATATAACAGAGCGTAATATGGAAGTGGCGAGGGGTACAAGCACACTCTTTTCATCTTGCAGTTTTATATGCATAGTTCAGCAAGTGCCGCCGTTGTTTATTGTAAAGGTAAGTTGTATGCTTATTTTACTTTCAGTCTCTGTTTTTATTAATGTATTTTTATGTTAATTATTTCTCTATCTTGAGACTAGAATCATTTAAATGAAAAATAAAGAACTATGTTATCCGAATGATTCCATTTTAGTCAGGACATTCAGGATAATTTTTTTAAGATCTCCGATTACTTTTTTGGTTATAGTCTCTATTTTTATTAATATATTTTTATGTTGATTGTTTCTCTGTCTTGAGACTAGAATCATTTAAATAAAAAATAAAGTACTATGTTATCCGAATGATTCCATTTCAGTCAGGACATTCAGGATAATTTTTTCAGGATCTTCGAATATTTTTTTGGTTATAGTCTCTATTTTTATTAATATATTTTTATGTTGATTGTTTCTCTGTCTTGAGACTAGAATCATTTAAATAAAACATAAAGAACTATGTTATCCGAATGATCCGATTTCAGTCAGGACATTTAGGATAATTTTGTTAGGATCTCCGAATACTTTTGTCTCTATTATAAATCTACATAGAGTTAAAAATATTAAAGTGAAACAATAAAAATAAACACGTTATGTTATACGATAAACATTTATTTTTGCGATACTTATTTACACAGAAGTTTACACTCTACAATAATCTACCTATAGGAATTTGGTGTACAATCATGGAATGAGATGATCTTCCGTTGGCTTCACATATTACAACCACAGGAAAAATTATATACACACATGATTAATAACATTTTGATTTTCAATCGCACACGAGCTTTTCTGAATTGTTCATTATGTACCATACGAAATTTCTACGATTCAATGTTCTTAATTTAATACGAGGAATTATAACTTAGGAAGCTAAATGAAATTATTGTAACGTAACAACTGATAATCGTTCATACCGAGCGATTTTCGTTTAACGAAAATTATCTGCTTCCATAAACATTCTTCATTGAAACGGAGGAGTCGGGGAAATACCGACAGATTTTCATCCGTTCGATAATCTCCCGTCAGTTCTCGTGATCCGCGCGATCCCCGGTGTCTTCTCACTTCTTCCTGTATCCCAGCTTGCGCAGAGCCTTCAGGTCCACGTCGCCATAGTACTTTTCGCTATTCAATCAATTCAAGTTCATTATTCACGGCGATCGATCGCTATAAATTCAATAAAGATTCAAACAAAATAAAACCAACTCTACGAGGAACGTTACTAACTGAACCACTCTAATCAGTCCTATTCGCCCCAATGGAGATTGCTTAAACTAAACGAACCTTGGACCAATATCATAAAACACCATAGGAACACGAAAACGATGAGGCCAACGAGCACAGCGTCGAATTAGTCGCAAATACATTCCCATAAAGATCCATGCGATTGAAAGTTGCGTGCAATGAACTCAATTTAACACGTTGAATGCCATGGGTGGTCCCCGATCAAATCGAATTACTATAGCCCACTGAATGAAACGACGATCTGAACTTTTAAACGATTACCTGCAAACGTTCTATATCACAAATAATGCTAGCTAATGAACTTTCAGCTAGACGAACGTATAATAATAAATCAGTTCAATAATTCAATATCATGCGTTCTCCATTTCGTGTACATCGCTCGATGAAATCGGCATTCAACGTGTCGAAGCACTCTACTGGATGGCACAAGTTTCCCTGCGAACAATTCCAAGAGCAGAGTTACACGTGACAGGGGAGATTTTCTCCGAATGTGCGTTATATTATTCAAAGTGGCACACGTGACCACGGAAATACGTGTGTTATTTTATTCATGCAACGTGGTTAGCCGAACGACGATCACCGCAAGTTAAACGCCCGACGAAAAGGCAACACAGAGGGTATAACATGGACACACCGAGGGAACGGGAGGATCGAGTTCTCGAAACGGAAACAAGAAGAAACAGAAGAGACAACGAAGAAAGCAGAAAGAAACAACACGTGATCGTTTTTACGAATATTTTTCCATTTATTATACGAATCTTTCACATTACTTACAAATACACGGATGAGTCTAGCTTAAACGCAAGCATGCTCGACCGGGGCCAAGAGTGCGGGGGATCGAGAAAATCGTTCGTTCTCCGCCCGCGAGAATTTCTCCTCGGATTTCCTCCGCGAGACTCGTCCGGCGGGGTAAACTCCCCGCCGTCTCGTGATCGCGGAGCGTTCTCCCGCCGTCCGCCATTTTCTTCCTCCGAGCCGGACGCCGCGCGAATAGGAGGACGCGGGCGACGGCAGCGAACGGAAGACAAACGGGAGAGGCCGGCGACAGGCAAGAAAGAACGAAGGGAATACGATCGATGAGACGACACGATCGTCACTTGAATTTCAATGTCTCCGAATATCGAATGTCGCTCGAAAACAGCGGGATCGGACCCCGTCCGCAGGTTTGAACCGCTCCGCCGCGCTCCGACGAGCTTAGGATCAGTCTCTTAAGAATTTCGCGCGCGTTTTATTCCTCTAGCTAATCGAATAATTAACAGAAAGTAACAGAAAGTCGAAACAGGGAGCCCGGCGCGGTAAAGTTCTACGTTCGTTGTCCGTCCTCCGCGATTCAGGGGATTAATATAAATAGGGGCGCGCCGAAGGTATCCGCCGGCCGGGTGCTAAACTTCGATCGGTCTACCGTTGAAACATCGAGAAACATCGTTGCGATCTTTCGAAAACCGTCGCAGGACATCGTCTCTCTCCACACGATTAACGAACTGCGTTGCATAATTCGAACTAGACGTTGGGCGCACGAAATCGGTATTAGATATTCGTTTCCTGCTCCGTGAACGTTGCACCCTCGGGTTGGCGCGACCCTGTAGATAGACACGGAATCTCCCGAAGCCGAAGCCTCGGCTTTCGTCCCTGCGAATTTCTCTCTTTCCTGGACTCATGCTGGGAACGCGGGATACGAGTCCAAGAATTCGAATGGAACGGGAACGCCGAAGGGGAACGCGACGCAATCGAGCGCACTCTTGACTCTCGGCGTTACATATAACAGCCCGTGACCACGGGAATGGCTCGGGTCCGCTTGTCTTTTCAGTCTAAGACGCTCGTTCATCGCGTGGAATCGTTCAATGCCACCGGTGCACGACCCTCTCTCGAACGTAATCAGAATTCCTCCGTTAATTTTCGACCGTTCCGCGGATGCCGGGAGAAACGAATAACCCTCGTAATTTTCTCGTGGATCACCGACCGAAGCCATTTTCATAGTCACCGGCACATATGTCGAGGTATCGAACACCAGGGTTGTTCGCTCGAGATTGTAATGAGTACGTTTCGTGTTTCTGTGTGCGTGCGTCTGTGTCTTTGTATCCTTGTACGTGTGCGTATGTAGGTGTAGGTGTGTGACAGAAGGAGAGAGAAAGAAACAGAGAGCTTCGATGGGACAGATGGAGAGAGAAGAGGGGGGGA